TGGGATGGTTCCAAGCACACCCCCTTGCTCTCTCCTGCCTGCATACTCCAAACCCAGAAATACGCTGATGAGGCCACTCTGGAGTCAACCTCAGTGACACTCTCAGGGCCACCAGACACCGAGGCCTGGAGTGTGGCCTCAGATGGACACCCAGGAGTGGCCCCACCATTGGAGTAGTTTCAGGTTTGGAGGGTGCATGCAGAAGCAGGAGACTGGGCCCTACTTTTTGGCATCCTGGCCAGTGTCCTTGGCCACCAGCGTCAACATGCTATTCATTACATTGTGGACTTCAGTCATGGTCCCTCTGACATGTCTGAAGTAAACAGTTCCAACTATTTTTGTCTGTCTCCCTATGGGTTTTTTACTATGTGCCTCAGAACATTTGTATTGTCCCTCTCCAGTCCCCTCCTATATCCACAGCAACCTTTTAAAGAAGGATGTCCACTCCAGAACTGTGCTTTTTCAGAATGTGGCACAGAGCTATACAGTATCTTCAGTGTTATTCTTCATCCAGGTCCATAGGCACACTCGTGTTTTGCCTACGGTTTTGCTTGCTGATGAATAGTGAGCATAGATCTCTGCTGAGCTGTCCACAGTGACACATGGGCCTTTCCCCCATGTAGTCTTAATTAATTTGGAGCATGTGCTCCATTTAAGTGCTTGGTCTGGGGAACTGGAAGAAAGGCTATGCACTTACCCTGGTGCCTCTATACAAGGGTGGGCAAAATATGGCCCACCGGCTAGAGCTGGTGTGCCAACTGATTGTATCCAGCCTGTGACTGCCCCCACAGTGTTCTGCATGGAGCTGAGCCCGTCCTGCTCCTGCCCATGCCCACCCTGTGCCTACCAAGGCACCACCCTAGCCACAGCCCGAGCCAGTACGCACAGTTCTGCTGCTGCAGCCGTCAGGGTAGTGCTTGGCTTCCCCTGCCTCCAGTGGCCCCTTGTGCACCTCCTCCTGCCTCTGCTGTGCTCCTCTGGGCAGCAGGTAGTATGGGGAAGTGGCAGCAGCTATGGGGACAGGTGCTGGGCACCACGTGCCCAGCCAGGCTATGGGGAGAAGCTGCAGCTGGGTGGCTTCTGCCCTAGTGCTCAAGGCTCCAGCTTCTGGCCACCTTCCACACACTTGGCTGTGTGCACGTGGCTACTCATCACGCCTGGCTGGGCACACGAAGCCTGGCTCGCACCTCCATGGCCACCGCCCTTCCATGCACTACTTGCTGCCCAGAGTGGTGCAGCAGGGGCAGAAGGAGAAGGTGACACTAGAGGTGTTACCTGGGCAGCTGCAACAGCAGCTCTGTGCATGCTGGCTGGGGCCAGGACCATGGTGTTGGCGGGCATGGGCCAGGGAGTGCAGCGCAGTCTGCCCTTGGTGGGAGCGGGTGAGGCACAGCCCCATGCAGAGCACCATGGGAGCATCTGTCAGCCAGATGGGGGGGAGAGGATGGATTGTACCTGTACATGCATTGCACCACCTGAACAAGCTCTGCTGCACATGCCCCCTGCTCCTCTTTCCTCACTTCCAACCAGCTCCCGGGACGTAGCACACAGGCAGCTCCCCCCCACGCACACCCCACATCCCCCACACATCCCCCCCCCCACACACATGCACACACCCATGCCTCACCCCCCACATGCATCCCACCCTCCCACATGATATACAGGAATAAGACTTTATTTTAAACTATTACACAACCGTCTCTGTATACATTACTCAAAAAACATGAATCAGAACAAAGTTAAACTATATTATAGTAGATGTTTGATTATTTTTAGTATATGATTTGTTTATCTGTAATTTGTTAAAATGATATTTTCTAAAAGATTTTGTGTGCGCACCCCTCAACAGCTCACCAAAACCTGTTAAGTGGCCTGCCAGCGGAAATAATTGCCCACCTCTACTCTAATAGCTGTCTTGAAATTGGCAGGATGTCGTCAATTCCAGACTGTGTTAGAAGCCTGAGATTGAGGGCTCCTAGTCAGTTCCAGCAATTATGAGATATAATAAGAGTCCAGGATGGTAGTCTAAGAGCAGCATTTTCTGACACTTGGAAGCACAGATGAGACTCTTAAACTTGATTTGGCTGTCAAGGGTTGAGCCCTGTGGTTGAAGCAGCAGGGAAGAAAGAGGATTTTAGCTACTGCATGCTGGCTGGACAGCAAGACAGAGAGAAGAGAAGCAATCCAGGCAGGAGAATGGTGATTGCCCTATACCTTGGTTTAGGCAGAGAAACAGAGAGCAAGGACTGAGGTTAACAAACTCCTTCCTGTCCTTGCAATGGCAGGATATTGGCAGTGCCCTCATCTCCCTGCTTTACCTGTAGTAAGATATGTGTTTTTGAAGTTCCTGCCATTGTGCCTGGTTATGTGTGCATGTGAGGGGCATTTGTGAGGTTTTTAGGAACAGTTTTGTTAGACAAATGCTTTATTAGGATGGTTTAGAAAGGGAGAGTCCTGCCATGAGCAGGATCCAGCCCTACTTTTCTATGATTCTACAATGCCCACAAGGAAAGATTCAGTAAGTGCCTGGATGGGCGAGAGGCAGAATCAAAGACAATTTTAGTTATGCAGGAAATTTGGAAAGTGGGGAACATGGGGGTGCTGTTAGCAGCTGTGGAGGAAGGATTTGGGGAGGAAAGAGAGAAAAATTAGTGCATATAAATTAAATGTTTCATACTTAATGTACCTGAAACAAAGCCCGATGAAAACAGTGACCTACCTAAACTTTGGATCAGGCTTGTACAATAGCTCATACCCACCGAACTCACAGGGGTTTACAAAAAACAGGTAAATGTCTCTTATTTCCATTTTGATGTTGAGAGCCTGAGAGGGTCAGTCATTTAGCCCGGGGCACACAGCAAGTTGGGAACGCAGGGAGAGAACTCAGATCTTCTCCCCCACTGTCTGGTCTACAGCAGCAACATGGCCATGCTCTCACACATCCTGCACTGCCAGGGAAAAACTAAAAAGCATTACATAATCCATACTGATAGGGCACAGCAGCCCAATAGCCATCCCTTGGCCCGCATATAAAAAAGTAGTGAGGGATTTCTTCCCCTTACAGGAAACTTTCCAAGTGTTTGCCATATATGTGCCAGTAAGCATACATGTGTACTGTACAGTTATGCATAGAGCTGTGTTCCAGTGATCCTGTAAACTCACTTGACCCTATAGACAACTTCCTTGGTTTCTGTTATTAGCATAAAGTGAGGAAGAAAATCTAAATCGTCAGCTGCTGGAATTTATTAGCAGGAAACCAAGAGCGTGAGATAGCAGCCAGCCTGGGGGGAGGAAAGTAGAATGGGACAGAGATGTGGCACTTTTATAAATAAGGCCAAACATATGATTCACTCGCAAGGTTGTTTTTCCGAGCCTGGGCAGAACTCTGCTTTTTTTAGCATTGATTCTTGACGTAGGCCCAGACTCTTCTAGCACGACTCTCAATGGTAGCTTTGCTGTGAACTGCAGTGACAGCAGGATCCAGTCAGAAGGCAGGGTAGATACCAGACCATTGTCTGCGTGCCTCCCCTGCCTGAAACAGTGTCCCTGTGTGTGTGAAGATATTTCAAGGGAGAACAATGAGCGTGCTTTCCCAGAATCTTCTCTCTGAATATACTACCTAATCCCTGCATGCAGACAACCCTGATGAGTGAAATAGTGCCTAAGTTCACTATTTCCAGCAGAAGCCAGCAAAAAACCTCAGCAAAATACTGAGTCTGTGGCTAAGTCCTTGAAGTCTGCTTTGTGCTTTGGTTTTTGCTAAGTTATGCTACAGTAAGCATGATGAATAGCAAGCAAATTGTCCTTGGTCACTGCTTTGCAAATCAAGATGCATGCAGTATCACCCCATTCTCTTCTAAATGCCTTCTTGAGAGCAGCTTTAGGAAGTACAATGCTGCGCTGCGTATGGGAGTGTACATTTTTTATATCTCATGCATGTAATGGATATAAATGTAATTATGAGGCTCCTGGCTGGTGAACAATTAGCAAAATGGAAAAGACAATGGCAGGCCATTTGGGTAATGAAACAATGAGATTTTCCATCCCTAAGACCACGGGAAATGATTACCTGAAATGAAAGAGAAATCCAATGGAAACAGGTACTTTTAAGCCAATAAGCATTCCCCTTTGGGGGTTTTAGTACAAGCATCGCAGTGTCACTGCCACCAAAGAGTATAATGGGCTGAGAACAAATGTGGAACCGACTGGAGGTTTTTTGTGGCCCAGATTGAAAGAAATGATCAACAAGCTGCACAAACAACAGCGGGACAGAAAGGAGTTTGTATAAAAATTAATTTGCTTTTATTTTGAAAGGATTTATGTGCAAATTACAGATTCTTTTATTTTACTGTGATGTGACTTTTGAACCTGAGGGTCTCTCCCGTACCAAAAGGCAAATCTGAGAGGTTGGGATTTTTCAGGTGTAGTCTTGCAGTCAGATTTATGTGGTCAGATGCCTGCACCCAGTGGATTCAACAGAAGGGTGCAAGGCTCCTCCTACACAGCTCTCAGTCCAGGGTCCAGCTCTTAACACAGTCAGATCCATTTTGTCCTTCTCACCTGCCAACATTTTGGAGCAGGGAGTGGGTATTTCAGAGAAAGGGTTTCCACAATCAAGTGGCATACCCTCTTTGCTGTGTTGTGGGAGATTATTTTCAAATCAGATATATGTTTTCCTGTTGGTTTGTTCTCCGGCATTTTTACACTTAGGTGGGACCTCTCGGACAGGTTCCATTGGGCTGCATCTGTTCAATGTAACAGCCTCAAAAGCTGCAGCCACTGACTTTGCTCTAAAAGGGGAAAGGAATTTAGGCCTCGTTGTGCCTCCTATTTATGTCAATGGCATTATAGTCAATGATGCAGCATGAATCCTGCACTGTAACAATGGTCCCAAATCAAATCCTGATGCTTTCTGCAGTTTCAAGAAATACAATGAATAGAAAGAAAAAATACTGCCCTGTGACAGAAAATCAATTCACTCCATTTCTGTTTTGTTTCAGGCTCATATTCGGCACTCTTTACCCTGCGTATTATTCCTATAAGGCTGTAAAATCAAAGGATATTAAGGAATATGTAAGTAATGGGGATTGTTTCTGGGGTATGTATTGTTTATGGTTTCTGCTCATTCTACTTGCCTGTACTGTGGTGAACCTGGGCTAATGGAAACCTAGCTTACGGGCAAAGTGACCTGACAGCCTGGTTACAATACTGAACTCAGGAGACTTGGTTTCTGCTCCCAGTTTTGCCATTGACTTGATGTGCTATTTGAAAAGTTGCTTTAGCCTCTACATAGTTGCTTTATACCAGCGGTGGGCAAAATGTGGCCTGCGGGCCAGATGCGGCCCACCAGGCCACTCTATCTGGCCCATGGGGCCCCTAAAAATTTTAGAAAATTAATATTTATCTGCCCCTAGCTGCCTGTCATGCGGCCCTCAATGGCTTGCCAAAACTCAGTAAGTGGCCCTCCATCTGAAATAATTGCCCACTCCTACCAATATGGTGCATTGTTTGGATTATCAGTTGCCCCTACATTTTTGGCTCCAATTAAAATGGAAATTTCAGGTTTTTCCCTGAATAAAAGTCAACAACTGCATATAAAGTTCTGGAAGTATTATTGTCATTACCAAATCTCATAGGAAAGTCCAGTAATCTAAAACAGGACCGCAAGGGGTTAAATTCACTAAAAAGACTAACATAAAAATTGAAAAACACTCTGACTTTTGTTGCCTTCACTAAATACTGGCAGTGTTTGACCCCATGTATGATTTTATGGCTCTTTTGGAGAAAAAGAAAAGATAGATGTGTAATCAGAATAATAGGATAGTTGGTCTCAAAAGCTGCTTAGGACCCAGAACTCAAAGGTGCTTGGGTTTTGCTGGTTTAATTTAAGGGGAGATGCACAAAATCAAGCCACTTCAGCAGGCTTGTGAACTTTCAGCTGCTCTCCCTAACCTCCCCTATAGGTGATTTAGGATCCTCAGCTGTGTCCACAGACACCTCTCCTAGTGGACTGGCTTCTTCATATAGGTGTGGGACGACTGGATGTAGCTGCCCAGTCTTCCTCGGAGAACTTCTCTGGGTTGTCATGTCCCATGGCAGGTGCTGCTGCCTTTTGGTAGAGAAAGTGGGGTGTGGGAGCACCTCAACCCTCTTGGGTGCATTTACACTGTCTCTCTGGTGCCTTTAGAAAGGGGCAATTCCTAGCAAGCTCCTTCTCCTGCTTGCATGTGCCACTGCTGGGTGCTCCACACAGCTGCTCTCAATCATGACAGATGCAGAGTTGCTGTGGGGCACATCCCTACGGTGGCTTTATTGCTGTGTTGCCCGAGAGCGCTGCGGACATGATGTCTAACCCCTCTGTGACAGGCAGGACAGACACAATCTTGTGTTACATCTAAGCCCCCTACACTGGACCTGCTGAGCCCTTGGAAATTTCTCTTCCACCCTGTCAGCATTCTGGGGAGGAAAAAAACCCACTGTCATATCCAGCTAATGGCTGTGATAACTGATAAGTATCTGTTGTGCTCAGTGCAGTGTCAGAGCTGTGACCACAGTGGCTGTTAAGATTTCAGGCTCTCCTCTGCCTGTTCTTGATAAAGGGAACCATTAACTTGTCTAGAGAGTGAGAAGTAAACCAGATGGGTCCTGCCTCCCATGCCAGGTATTCGAGGCAAAATGTGAGGGGACAGATCTTTGAATGTGCAGGCAGCTCAGTAAATTGGAGCATTGTTGTAGTCAGGCTGGTCCAAGCAATGTCTGAGAGGCATATTATTATTGTATTGCCTGAGATCCTTTTATTGGATCAACTGTAGAGTTGGGAGAGCTGTTGGACAAGCTTTAGGGCAGGACTAGACAACCACAGGCACGGGTGCCAGAGTGTGGCATGTGAAGGCATTTTGCTTGGCACACACGCCTTGGGGAGGATGGTGGGGAAGGGGCTAGGACTGCATTGCCACAAGGATTAGGCCCCTCGTGGCTCCCCCGCCATTTGCCAGGGGGCTCAGATGAGTTTTTCACCCTTGGTCTGGAGCCTAGTCTACACTTGAAAGTTGTTTCAGTATAACTATGAGCAGAGAGAGATAGTGTTAGTTGTGTTAGTCTATAGTCAGACAAGGCAACGTAGAGTTGCACCTTATAGATTAAATAAGATGAAGTGTATTTGATGCACCTGATGAAGTAAGCTGTTGCTTATAGACAGTTATACATCTCTGATTTAGTTGGTCTATGAGGTGCAACCTTACCCTGCCTTCAGTTTAACTGTGTCTGCCAGGCTGTGATTTTTTTCCTTTAACTAATACACGCCCTAGCTTGGATCCACAGAGAATCTCAGTTTTTAATAACATTTTTTTCAAGGTTTTTCTCCAATAATTAATTCTGGGGAAGACAGACAAATGAAACTATCTCTGCTCATATTTAGTCATCTGATTTGGGCAAAAATGTTACCCAACCAACCAAAATTTTGGCTTGGGGTTGCCAACTGCCCTAAAGTTTTTATATTTGCAGATTTTTAAACAAAAGCTCAAAATTGTTTTCATCAGAATTTGTCACAGGATAAAAGCACGATTCCCTGGCAGCTCTGGTATTTAGGGATTGCTCTACCCATCTGAAAGGCAACCCTATCTGGGGTGTAATGCCACAGTGCAGTGGTAGTACACCACCATTTCAGTGGGAACCTAGGAAGTGGACTGTTGCAACTGCAAAGGGATATGTTGGGGGTTGAGTTCACTCCCCAGTTACATACTTACATGCCTTTTGAGTCTCTGCTTCAGGACACAGTTTCTTGTTCAATCACAAAAGCTTCCAGCTTCCAGAGTAAACCAAAACACAGCAATTCCCTCATTAAAACACAGCAACATAGACTGCAGCCTCCAAAGCCTTTTTCGTTTGCCTGTCACAAAGAAGACATATTATTACAGCCCCTGCTGAGTCATGTAAGAGGCAGATAATTCTAATCTTTTCTTGGCTATCTTTTCCTGTCTCTGTGTATTAGGCAAATGTAATTACCCTAATAGGGATTTGTGCAAGATTCCAGGACTAACATCTATACTGTTGTGAAAAGTACCTTGGGATCTTTGATGAGCATCAATAGGACCTTAGCTTTGTATCTATAACCCAGAGCATGTTTCCCTCTAGTGACTGCTTGCTCTTTACAGAAGTAGATGAGCCTATTATTATCCTAATCTCTAGAACTAGTCCACTGGAGCTAGAAGATCCAGCTCAGTTCATGTCAGCTGCAGTGGATTCACCAATCTATATAAAAACATAAGATGTGCCATGCTGGGTCAGACCAATGCTCCATCCAGCCCAGTATCCTGTCTCCAACAGTGGCAGGGGTGGATGCTATACAGGGACAGCACTGAATCAGAAATATCTAGAGTGATTTATCTCCTATTCAGTATCCTCCCAGGCATCCACCATTATTGGTTTAGAGATGCCAAAGGAAACATCAACCATTGTGTTTAATATCCATTAATGAATCTATCATCCATGAATTTATCTAGTCCCTTTTTTGAACCTGGCTATGCTATCTGCCTCTACTGCCTCCTGTGGCAATACTTCCACAAGTTACCTATGCTTTGCATTTTTTTAAAAACCTACTTTCTCTTGTTAGTTTTACTAATTTCAGCGGGTGCATCTTAGTGCTAGTATTCTGGGACTTGGTGAACAACAGTTCCCTGTTCACTTGGTCCACATCCTTCATGATTTTATACATCCCTCCCTCTTCCTTCTCCTTCCCAAAATGAAGAGTCATCGCCTTTTGAGCCTCTCTTAGTATGCTAAGGGTTCCATGTGCCTGATCCTTTTGGTTGCCCCTCTCACTACCTTTTCTAGTTCTCCTACATCCTTGAGATGTGGGAACCAGAACTGCATACAGTATTTAAGATGTGGGCCCACCAGAGATTGTTATAATCGCATGATGATGAGTGGCCCAAAGAAGAAGACAGTGTCACACCAAGGGGGTGTGGGTGATGCATGGCTTCCCGCAGCACCACTCAGCACCAGCCATTCTGGACACGCTGGTACTACTCGGTGGGAGGAGCGTGACTGACCAAATCATTAATACACCTTCTTTCTATCTGGAACTAGAGGTTCCCCGGAGGTCCCCCATTTAGATATGAACATAACAGAACTGGAATTGTGCACTCGGGTACAGATCACAATTTGCTGAGTGATCCCTGGCAAAATCTCTGAAGTTCTCCCCAGCTGTTAAATTGATATATTGATGTTTGCCTGCTATATCAGCAATGGTGCCCTTGGCTGTTGTGACTAGGGCAAGCTATGGAGATCCCCCGGGTGAAATGACATGACTTGAGTGAGTGCTGTCTCTTCACAGGTCAAATGGATGATGTATTGGATCATATTTGCACTCTTCACGACGGCAGAGACATTCACCGACATCTTTCTTTGCTGGTGAGCATAGGGCAGCGGTAGTGAGATGAAAAATGGAAATGTTTATAAGGGGAAAAAAGGGTCAGAAAGAGGCTCACAACGCTAGGCCATTTCCTGAACAGGGGGCCAATCATGCCAGGTGCACAGGGTGTTTTGCTTGGAGGATTGACATTTCCTTTTCCATTGCTGCCAGAATTAGGGAACGGGGGCAGGGGAAGGAAGGGTGGGAAATAGTAACTTCAGGGCAGCTGCATTGTGAGATTGTATCTGGTGAAGATTTGTCACTGTCCACAGAGAGCTGGCTGATCTGGCAGTTTGCTGCTGTTTTGAGCTCTTATGAAGGAGTCAGGCTACTGGAGGGGGTAGAGACCAGCATATAGAAAGTTTTCTGTGTATGTGAGGGAGGAGAAGAGAGGGGAAGGGAGTGAGGGAAAGCAGGAAGAGAGAGAGAGAGAGGGAAGTGGAAACATGAAGAGAGAGGAGAGGAAGATAAACCACAATGGGCACATCTACACATGCTATTACTGTGCAGAAATAAGCTCTAGGGCTTTATTGCTCCTGGGTTTATTGCTCCTGGGTTTATTGCTCCTGGGTGCACTGTTTGAACATGTGCCCAGAAACAATAAGCTCTGGAGTTTATTCATGTGCAACATGTTGAGCCAGGCCAGAGCAGTCCCAACTGGCAGGGGCCCCGGGGATCAGCCTGCCAGCCCACGGCTGCTCCCTCTGGCTCAACGTGCTGCAGAGGGGCTGGCTGGGGCACAAGGGTGCTTCAGTGCGGGGCTAGCTGGCAGGCAGTCCCTGCACTGAAGCACCCTCATGCCCCGGCCAGCCGGGCAGCATCTACACGTGTACTGCTGTGGAGTTTTTTACTCCGCAGCAGGATAATACTTTTATTTAAAAGTACCATCGTGCTGCAGAATAAATTAGTTTATTCCAGCCTAATAGGAGTTCATGTGTAGATGCTGAGATGTTTACTGCAGCTAATTAGTCTAGTGTGCAGCAGATGCCTTGTGTAGATGCACCCAGCAGGCATGTCCAGATGAGCGTGGACATTTGGTTCCCCAGGAACAAGTATTAGCGGCGCGCTTTATGCTGCCACTACTTGTCCCTGGGGAATGCCCATGCCATGTGCGCTCTGGCACGCGGCAAGTTTGGCACTGGGCTGCCCCAGCAGCCTTACCCGGGGTCCTGGAGGCTGCCCAGGGCTGCAGCAGCAGCAATTCTGGCATGCGGAGCCTGGCTGGCAGCCAGAGTGTGGCTCCAGGTGGCCTGGCTCCGCTTTTGAATGGTGCATGCTGCCCATGTGTGCGCTGCTCCACCTTTTTCTCCATGGGTTTTTTTGACTCCTGGATATCCAGGGGTCAAAAAAACCCATGGAAAAGAAAAGCGGAGCAGCGCACACATGGGCAGTATGCCCTTGCAGCATGAAGAACATCTAAATGTACGGTATGTGGCACCCCAGAAGTGTTTGCGACACCACATACTGCATGGCCACGCTCGTCTCAACATGGCCAGTGAGACTTTCACTCTTCCACCCTTGTAAAGCTTGCTATCTTCCAGCATAATCCATCGGTGAGCGTGTGGCACAGGACCCTTTCTGTGCCTAGGCCACAGAGCATATGAATCTGTTGCAACCAGAGGTAGGGACCTACCATCCTGATGAGCACATGGGATTTTGCTGGGGCCCTGCTGAGCTGGAAGCACAAGCAATGCTACCTTGAGCTGAACAGCACAGCTTTTCTAGGTATGGACTACAAGAGGGTTATATCCTTTGTGGGTCTGGCACAACGGACCCTGCAAACCATGCCTGCCAGCAGGTTACAACAGCAGGCTGTGTTATGTGGTCCTAGAATGGGTGCACTGTATGTATAAGTAGTTTAGAGGAAATGGACAATGTATTTGCCAAAAGCAGTCCCCAGAGTTGGTGGAATAATGCCAGTTGACTTTGTTTGACTTTGGTTCAGGTCACTTGATAAGGTGGGCATAATTACCTTAGGCCCCCAAGTTTGGAAATGTTCCTTCTCTTTCTTATAGGGCCTGCTTAACCCAAAGCCTGTTGAAGCCATTGAAAATGAGTGAAGTCAGTAGGCTTTGGATCTAGCCCTCGCCCTTACACATCCCTTACCAAGGGCCTATTTCTGCAAAGTGCTGCCCACTTTGAGAGCAAAGGAAATTGAAAGAACTAAGTACTTCTCAGAATCTGACCTCAAAGAAAGAAAGTGGGATTAGCTGGGTAGCTAAGAAGTATCCTTTTAACGGTTTGTGACTCGGTGTCAGTCCACTGATTGGATGTGGTGTCTTGCTATTCTGTGCTGAGCAGAGTTTCTCAAAGAATGACTTCAAGACAAAGCCAGTGGACTAACACCCACCCTTAGGCTTTGTACCAAAATACGAGAATTGAAAGAACCTAATAGTGAGAGGCACCTTGCTAATATCTGTGATTATATCTAGAACATGTCCCATTGCTTTTTGTACATCACGGTAGTGCCCAAAGTCCCCACTGAGGACTGGGTTCCATTGTGTTGCATACTGGACAAGCACAGATAATGAAACAGTTCCTGCACCATACAAAAAGGACCACATTTGGATTCTACTTGGATACTATTATCTGAAAGAAGAAAGAGAGATGAAGATAGGAGGCTAGTTTGGAGCCTGGTGCTGGCTGTGCTAGGAACTACATTCCCTCCCAGCTCCCCAGGTCTGTAGCAGCTGGGGAGACAGTGGAGACAGCTCCTTCTATCATGTCATAGAGACTCTTCTAGTCACAGGAGTCCTGGCACTGCTTATGGCTGGAAGGAAGAGTGTTGCCCTTGGCCAGAGCTGGGCGGGGGAGAGAGGGAAGTAATGGGGGGAAAAGTGGGTAGGTATGAGGGATCCCTGGGAAACAGAAAGCCCTCCAGGCTATGAACCTGCCTGTCCTTAACTGAACTGAGCTGGTATTAGCAGGGGAGCAGGGGCTCAATCAGGTTCATTCCCTTTTTGTTTTCCTGCAGGTTTCCATTCTACTATGAACTGAAAATAGCTTTTGTAGCCTGGCTGCTGTCTCCATACACGAAGGGCTCCAGCCTTCTGTACAGAAAGTTTGTACACCCCACCCTGTCCTCAAAAGAAAAGGTAATTGCAGGTGCTCTGAGCCTGGCTGGCTCCCACAGAAGGCTGGGCATTTACGTCCTTCTGTCAGCGACTTCCCTCAAAGGATTGGGAGTTGTCACATTACTGTCTGTGTCGTAGTTTGTTCTTTGATGATCTCCTTTTTTGCTCTGTTGTATGCCTGTCTGGTGAACTCTTTCGCTGTGACTCGTCTGTGCATTGGGGGAGTTCAGTGGGAGTTCAGCGGGTGGCAAATGGATATTTTCTGTTCACCCTGAAAGCGATGGCAGCAGAAACAGGGGATGGCAAGCATCGCAGCTGGGGATGCACTGATCAAATGAAGCAGGAGGGTCATTTCTGGAAGTGCTGCCTGCTCCAGGTGGGAGGGACGCATTAGCGTTGTGAGGCCTGTGAGATGGGACACCTTGGCTCTGTTCACTGCTCTGCCGAAGACCTGGAGACAAGCCATCTCCTATATCCATAAAGGAGGTATAATAGAGATCATGGTCACACAGACTAGTCATCATGAGGTTAGTGAGGGCTTCAGTTGATGCTGCTGGGTGCTAATCCCTGCAGTAGCTAACACTATATAAAAGGACTGAGCTGCCATGCCCAGATCTGAGCAGATCTGAGATTTAAATCAAAGAAGACTGCTAAAAAAACACAGAGCTGCACTAGCTGCCTTGGAGAGGCAGGAGCTGGGGTTAGCCACAGAACAGGCCATACAGAGCTGTTGTAGAGGGGCTACTTCTGCAGGGCTGAGGGAGCTCATCCCTCCTGCTCTTTTCCCTTTGGAGTCAGATTGCATGCAGGTGAGATGGGAGGGTTGGGGTCATGGGCTGTTGCCCTGTAGGAAGTGGACTGAATCCCTTAACATAGGCCAAAATCAGAGCATAAATCCTTCTGGGCACTGCTAAACCCTGACCAGCCCTTAAAGCCTCCATAACCCATTACCATCCAGTCTCCTGTGGCCGTGGGGGCTATTTTAGTGACTACTGTGTTGCACAGTGAATGGCATGTGAGCCCAAAGCATGGCTAACACCTTCTTTCCCAGGAACCAGTGAGCCCTATGGGGCCAGTGCTCTTGTCATGTGGGACAAGAGCAGCACCTAAGGGTTTCTATGTGGGTTATTTCTGCCTGCAATGCCCTTTTCATCTTCTGCTGGCATCATGCTCCTCTGCAGGAAGCAGGAGGGTGGGAAATATCTGCCTCCTGACCCAGGATAACTGAACCGTCCCTCTCATGCTTTTTGTCTGGCATGACAGGAAATCGATGACTGCCTTGTCCAAGCAAAAGACCGCAGCTACGATGCCCTTGTGCACTTCGGGAAGCGGGGGTTGAATGTTGCGGCCACGGCAGCGGTGATGGCAGCTTCCAAGGTAACCAGCGCTGGGAAAGCACAGGGTGCAGTGGTGATGTCAGTGTCCCAACCCATGACATCACCAACAGCAATCATGACCTGTGGAGAGGGAGACAGTTGGGGGGGAATCCAAATTTTTTTTCACTGGTGACAGTCCTACATCCCTGCCCCCTGTCCACCAGCCCCAGAGGTGCATCTTGGGATGCGTACAGTATACAAGACAGCCTGTGCAGGAGGAAGTAACCTCAAGTAAAGGGGTTAATGCAGTATAAAGGTGGAGGCCTTTTCTCACTGCCATCCAAGGCTCCTATGAAGCCCTGCCTCAGTCATGCATGCTACCCTCCTGACAGTGCCAATAGCACTGGCAAGTGCTGCTCATCATCTCAGCATCCCTTCCACAATGTATAATTATATCGCTAGGAGTGATTGCGACTAATTATACACAGAACCAGTTAGCATTGGCTTGGGAAATTGTTTACCGACCCCATTAGGTGAATCAAAGCTCAACTGCCAAATTGTTCCATGCACCTGTTTATAGGTCCATCTGGGGACACCACGTCCAAACCCAGGCCTGAAATCACCCTGTTGTGTTCTTAATAAATTTAACAGCCTCTAATGTGGAGACTAATGGCAAACTACGGAAGCCTTGGGCTTCTGGCCATTGCATGATTCCCTGTGGTATCTGGAAGGATGCCTTCCCTTATAGCACACGCAGTGCCCTGTTATAAATATGCATTAATACGCAGATTATTATGCATTATTGATATTCTGTATTCTGTTGGGGTAAAGGGGAGATCACATTCTCATGAAGCAGTGGGTGTTGGTCACTTCTGGAGACACGAACCTGGACGCATGGGAAAGATGATCTCATCTGCTGTGGCATACTGTGTGCTCCTGTACTCTGATTGCTGTGTAGACCCAGTACAAGAAGGTAGCCCTTAAACAAGTCCTCACAGAGGGATAGCAGCAATTTGTAGAACGAATGAATGCTGTTCTGGTTAAGGCAAATGACTGTGAGTCAGAAGACCTGGAGTCTTTCCTTGGCTCTGCCACAGACATCTTTTATGATCCTGGGCATGTCATTTTATCTCCCTATGCCTCGATTGCCTCACCTGCAACGTGGGAGTAGTTATTTCCTGTGTGATGGGGTTTGTGAGGCCAGGTGTATGAATGCGTACAGTGCTTTGAGAGCCTCATATAGAAAGTGCTCAAGAGTGCCAAGCAGAAGAGTGTATTGTACTGAATCTGACATGCACAAGTGATGTTACAGTAACAGTAATACCTGCTTTAAATGGGCAAAACCCAAGGGGTTCCATACAAAGCCAAGGATTCTTACAGGGTTCCCAGCTTGCAGTTTTGCATAAGTTGAGCTGATGTGAAACTGTGAGTACTACAGACCCTACAACGGCTATGTGAAACAGCGGGGTGCATGAGGCTGACCCCTCGCTTATACAGAGGCCCTTTGATGCCAGCTTGCCAACAAATTAACCTTCAGATGGACAGAAGTCTGCCCCCCACTGTGCACTGCCTTTGTTGCACTACACTGGTGCTTGTAGTTGGACGATCTATACCATCTGGTGTCTGCAGAGGAAGCGGCATGCAATTTATAACAGCCCTGAGGCTGCTCTGATTTACACATGGGCGTAAACAGCCCCAGATTATGGAAGTACAAAGGTGGCTCAAAGCCTTTGTGCCCCACCACTCCCTCCCGGCCCTGAGCAAAGGAGCGGAAAACTGCTTACTGTCCACCTGGTGAAGATCTGCACAGCAGGAGGAAGCCAGTAAGCCTAGGCCCACCAGGAAAACTTTAGCCTTAATTAGGGAGGCTTCTAGAGACACAACAACACATGTTGTGGGACAAGAAATGTGAGAACAGAGATAGGAGTGACGGTCAAAGGTTAAGAGCAAGTGCTCCAAGGGGGAACATTATGCAGAGCACACCATCCACTGCCTGCTGGCCCTTAAACAAATCGAAGGAACTAGTGGATGCCACCCAGTGAAACTCTGCCTGGAGATGTGTGCAAATGAGGGACAAGAAGGCAATCACCATAGGTCCTCCCAGCCAGAGCCTCCATCCAGGTCAGATAGATGGCCAGCTTAGCTAGAGCCAGGAGGACAAGAAGCCAGACAGGAGGGCAGCTAGGAAGGGCTATAAGAAAAAAGAAATAGAGGAGGGCAGAGTAGTTTGGGGTTCGTCCTGCTCTTCTGCATCCAGTGAAGCTCCTTGTTCAACATGAGAAGAAAGCAGCCTTGTCTAAGATTCTCTGCCATTGCCACATGATGCACTTCAGAGCCCAATGTAGTGATAGTGCTTTAAGCCAGACTACGTACGTATAACTGGTGAGCTTTATCTAGGTGCTGTCTTAGGCAAGGAAGAATGGTTTGATGATCTGTTGTACTGAATTACGGCAGGGCAATGGCTGTCTTCTGTTTCTGGCTCTGACACAGAGTGAGACAGGACTCCTGGGTTCTCCTGCTGATTTGGTGCATAACCTTTGACAAGTCATTCCCTCGCTTTGCCATATTCAAATGATAAGCAGGTGTAATACTTGTCTACCATTGTAGGGGTGCGGTGAATCATAATTACTTGAATATTATCTGGAAAGTGCTTAGATAGAGCTAAAAATGTGGACTCAGAGCAGTGCCATTACACACTAGTCACTAGTGACTGTGCTTAGAAAATTCCCTATTTCCTATTTCACTTCCCCACTCCAATACTCACACTGGCTGTTTCTGTGATTGGATTTCTATGCTAGCTAACAGCTAGTACATTAACAAGCTAGCATAGGCAGGGAAAGCATCTTTAACATACTCAAGTTAAAGCCCCTAGGATAAAGTCAGGTTCCTAAATCCATATTAGACTGCAGAGAAGCAGCCTGATTCTCAGAAGTAGGAAGTCCCTGCAGCTCCCAGTGAACAGAGGGCCTTACCAAAAGAGAAAGCAAGGAACTGTCTTGTTGCCTGCTTCATCTCAAGTAACAGGACAAAAAAACCCACTATTATGATATTAAAGATTGGCTACTCTTCTGCTAGCTAAAATCAGCATCGCTCCTACTGTTCTCTGCCACATGCAACCGGCTCAAGTGGTCTCAGATCTAACATATTCCTTTGAATTTAAGGACCTATTTCATTTAAGACATACCCACATTTTCCAGGTCTCAGTTTAAGAAACAAACAAAACATTAACTTTAGACACATCTATAAACATACAACCTCTGCGATACCTCTGTGGTATTATTCTACTTTTGTTTTTCACTTGAGTTAAAAATGTAGGCCAATTGTAGAAGAAGTATTTGGTTTAAAAAAGCAAATCTCTTTGAAGGAATATGGTAAGTACTCGGACACCTGGGGAAATGCCTGGCCCTCGGCTTTTCTTTGTGTCTGCTGCACTAGCTCGTACTTACAGCCTGACTCCTTGCACTCCCACATGTCTGTAGCCACCTGTAACCCTTTGCCTTGTACGCAGATTGCCTTGTACACATCTGTACAGCAGATGCTCCGTATGCATCCTGTCTCACTACTCTAGCTCCCACACTGGCCCTTGTTAGGTGTCTGGTACAGGGCCTGTGGCTAACTGGACACCATTTATGTTATAAAAACCAGCAGTTGTGCCCAGACAAGCAAAAAAGATGGGCCACTTGCAAGGCAGGCTGAGGGCCCCTTGGGGCTTCCAGCACTCTGCCACCCTGCCCCTGCTTACCCGCTCCAGAATGATGATCTCCCAGCGGAGACCGTGTCAGCCAGTTGCTCTCTTGCCAGTGCCCCAAGCCTAGTGCTGGTCCTGCCCCCACGGGACAGTATTCCAGTCCCAGAGCACAGTCCCATTTGAGGCACCATCAGCCTGTCAGCAATCAGCCAGCCTGACACACACTGTGCCTTCAGGCTTGTTAATGCTTTGTGGCTGGGTGAGATGATGATGAGATAAATTTGCAGTCTAAATTTGCGACTTTGATTTCAGCCCATTGCCCTCCACAAAGCCGAGGCTTCAAGCACCCTCCACTCTCACAGCCCCATGACAGAGGAAGGAAAAAAGGTGTTCCCAGAGGACAGGAGCCAGCCCCCAGGAGCAAAGGACTCCTGTTCTCTCCTTCTCATCCCTCCTTTTATCAGGAGCTGGAGCAGCAGGGCAGGATGGGGGCCCTGCTTGGCTGGGAAAGCTCTTGTTATGGGGGGAACTTGAGGCTCAGATGAGCAGTGGGGCAGGAAATGAGGCCCAGCCTGGGCACTAAAGTGGCAGCAGCAAGGCTTGGGTAAGAGAACTGGATTACCAATGCAAAGAAACTGGGACAAATATGGGGCAAGTTCCTGGTGGCTTGACTGCAATGACAGCTCACCCCCAAACACAGGTGCCAGATCCCTCCCTCACTGCCCTTACCTGCCCAGTACCTGCTGCACCAGCTCTGCTCCTCCATCCCTCCTGGCCCAATGTCCCAACCCTCCCAGCACCACCTTTACATGTGGCTTCCCATGTACTCACTCTTTCAAGCTCCTGGTTTCTGAGACCAACACTCCACAGGCCCCATTCTAGCGCCATTGGATAAACCATACCTGTGCTAGAGATCAAAAAATTCATCTTGCAATCAGCCCCTGCCCACCTGGAAGGCAGCTCTTATGGTCACTCCTTTCTCCCTCATCATTACTGTTTGGGAAGACATAGAAAGGACCAGGCAGCTAGGAGGTTGTGTCACCACCCAAGCATTTATGGTAGGTTGTCTCTCTCTCTGGTTTAGCCTCAGAGACTGCAGTCTCTTTTGGGTTGGGCCTATCAGCCTACTGGTTGCATAGCTCCTAGCAGAATCGGTGCATTAGGAGCTGCTGCAATTCAGATGTTGGTAGTGAATGGGGAATGTGGTGCAGAGAGCTCCTTGCTGTGCTCACAATGTCCTGGAATAAAAACCCGAAGGGGAGAGAGCAGCCATGCATGACTAACATCAATGAAAAGCCCATTTGTGCGAAATATGTCTGAGAAATGGTTCAGGAGCCTTTCCAGCTATCAGCTGAAGGCACCGGTCATGCAAATCAAGGAATTTGAAATTGAGTATGTACCTATCTCCCTAAAGACATTTAGGTCCTGCTCTGGAGACCAATGAATTCAATGAAATGAGACCCTAGGCCTTCCTGGGCTTTGGATTAGGCTTTAGGAGAAGACAGTCAGTCCCTGATCTAGGATACATGCTTGGTCCAGTTTGTCCTTTGTCTCCAATGAACTTTCTCCTCTCAGGTGTCCAGCAAGGGCATCGTGGCTTAGAGTACCTAGCTCAGTGGCAGTTAGGTGCCTAAATACTAGGGCTGTGCGAAATTTCGCCAGCTGTTTCATTTCAACGCTGCTTCGACTTGTTTCAAGCTCAAAACAGCAAAATTAAAATGAAATGGAGGGCTTTGAAACAGCCTCGAAATGAAACGAGGCCAGTCGAAACGTTTCAAAAGTTTCATAACGTTTCGAATTTCAAAGCAGCCAGCCAGGTGGTGGGAGACAGGGGAGAGCCAGGGCTGCAGCCCTATGTGGCTCAGCCCGGTGGGGAGCACAGCCGTGGCTCTCCCTGCCTCCCGCTGCTGGGCTGCACTCTGTGGGGCTGGCTCAGCCCACTGGAGCACAGCGCCAGCTCTGCCCGCCGTGTGCCACTGGGCTGCACTCCGATCGGCTCTGCCAGCCCCATCAAGCTCAGCCCGGTGGCAGAAGGTGGGCAGAGCTGGCACCTCCCACCACCGGGCTGAGCTCCACAGGGCTGCGAACTGCTGGGAGCTGAGCCTGGTGGTGCTTCTCCCTGCCGGGCTGAGTTCCCCAGGGCTGCAAGCCACTGGGAACTGAGCCTGGCTGGGGGATACGCCTCCCACCACTGGGCTCAATTCCCAGCAGCTCGCAGGGCTGGGGGAAGCGTGGCTGAGCTCCCCAGTGCTGCGAGGAGCTGGAACTCCTCCCGGCTGGAGGAGGTGCTTCCCCCAGCCAGGCTCAGTTCTCCCAGCACTGGGTCCTGGGCGGCAGGAGCAGCGTCCTGTCATCCGACAGGCAGATTGGGGGCCTGCTCGCACCCCCGGAAGGGCTTCAGGGGCTCTGCCGGATTCCTCCCGGGGGTGTGGACCCCCCCATCTCCCTGCTGGATCACAGGTCTCTGCTCTTGCTCCCCGGCTCCTGCTTGTCAGCAGCCTGAGGTGCATTTTCCTAGAAACCCCTGCACCGATCTCCTTGAAACTTGGCAATCTTCATGCCCTCAGAAGGGGCAACCATCCCTGCAAGTTTCATCAGAATCAGGGAGGAAATGACAAAATTATAGCTGTTTCGTGCTTCCCCATTATTGCCTAAGGGCAAAACCTCGAAACAGCGTTGAAACAACGAAACCATTTTGACAAAACGGAATGAAACAAAACTCGAAACGAAACACTCTTCCATGGAAATGTCAAAATTGAAGTCGAAGCGAAAGACTGCTGTTTCGCACAGCCCTACTAAATACCTTTAAGGGTCTGGAAGCAGATCCCAACCAGGGGAATTCTATCTCAGCCTCGTTTGCCAATGGAGACCTTCAGGGCCCGCATTCATGCTGCATGAAGAGTAGAGTAGTGAAGGGAAGGAGAAACTACAGTGGGGCCAAGGGTTTGAGAAAGTGAACAGGGCCATCTTGTTGGGGGTAGAATCCACAGTTTTTATTTGTCTGCCACCTAGGGTGTCTCCGTTCATGCTGCTTAGCACAAACATCTGTGTAAAGGCCATATCATGACCCTAGCCGGTATGGCCAAGATTTGCAAATGTGACTAGTGCTTGGAGGTATCTGATTTGGGAGAACATAAAGGATTTTTAGATTTCTAGGAAGTGCTGAGTACCTGTCCCCCTGCAAGCAGGCACCTTTACGGTGTCTCAGACAGGACACCCAAAATCAGTGGTTACTTGAAAATATTGGTCTGGGTGTATGATACTACCAAAGAGGCTGGTGTACAACTTCCTTGAAAAGCAGTGGTAGTGCAAGTGTGATGATGTATCTGTGATGGTCCAAAGGTTGTGGTCAGGCCTGAACAGGAATGTTTTGCATTTGAAAGCTTGCCTGACTTTATCTCAACTCAATAGCTGGTCCAATAAAATAATCTCTTTGAAAACAATATAATGCGCAGCCTATGATGACGTTCCTCCAACTAGGTGCTCCTGGGTCATGGTGTGATGCATCTCTCATGCTCAAATATTAGAGTTCACTGATGTTTAGGATGTCCAAAGACCATTTTGACCAAGGAAAACCCCAGACACTGCTCAGCAACATGCCCAGGGTGGAGCTGGGTCATTGTTTCTCCTCTATTGAGTGTTTCTTTGATATCGATCCAGCCCTGCTTAAACATGCAGATGACATAAAACGTGTGTGCAGGAGAGCAGAACCCCCAGCACATATGGAGAGATTAGATCAGTGAAGGCTTCAGGCAACAGCCTGGAGTCCCTGGGACAAGTAGACTGCACAAACAAAATAGGTGGATGTTATCGACAGGCATCGTCACATGCACATGAGCTAATTTTTCCTTTGTGTCCTTTATGACTGTCCTCACAAAGCTTTTCCTAAGCTCTGCAGGTTGTTGCAGGGAAGGTGTGAAAATGAGGCAGAAGCAAGTGTTTGTCCATAACTGGATGTTTAAGTGTCAGAAGCTAAAATGCATGGTATATGTGTTTGTGTTTGTGTTGCCTTATAATGTCCTGTTTCCAGAAATCATATAAGGATGGTCCTGTTAAGTCAAGTGAAAGAGGCCTCTGTTTTAGAGTATAAGGTCCTGGGTGCAGTTTCCAACATTGCATGTCTGTTGATACCATTCTGCATACAAATGCAACCTCCTTACCATGGGTTTAGTGGAGCGCTACTTCTCACACTGGCTTCCAAACTAAGGAGGCTGCCAACGCCACACTCATCATCACATGACCCTCAATTAAAACTTTCTAAATTGGGAGTAAATCTCACAGCACTCAGCACCCTTTTAACACCAGTGGGAATTCTGCACGTGGATTAGAAATGAGATGGGACACTGGAAGTTCACACGAAAAGAAACATCTATCCAGTATGAAAAGTGGCAGGGCATGTCTACACCTTGTTGGACAGCGATAGGGAGCCCCACTGTGGGAAACGCACCCTGCCCTGCATGAGCCAGGGAATGAAAAAAATGTCATGTAGTTGCCATTAGAGTGGCTGTGGGCACTGGCGTTATTGCGAGCACGCCTGAGCCTGAGAGTGACACTGGATGTGCCCCGGGGCATGTTTTCATGATGGTGCTTTCTAGGAGATTATCTAGTCCAACTCTCTGCCCCAAGCAGTATTACCCCTTCCTAACCCACCCCAGGCATGTATTACGAACCAGCATTGACCTTAAAATCTTCCAGTGAGGAAACTTTCACAATCTCTTTAGGAAATCTGTTCCAGGGCTTGGTCATCCCCATCATTAGAAAGTCCTTCCTAATTATCCAACCAAGTCCTCCCTTGTGACAGTGTATGGCCATTCACTACTCCTTGTCCTTAGTGGACATAGAGAACAGTAGATTGCCAGACTTTTTATAACAGCCATTTTTGTACTTAAAGATTGTGATTAGATCCCCTTTCCGACTTTTCTTCTCCAGGCTAAACAATCTCTCTGCTTTTGAGCTTCAAAGCACTTCACAAACACTGATTAAGGCAACATAGGCAGGTAAATACTGTTTTCCTCATGAGGAAACTGAGGCATGGAGGAGTTAAGTGACATGTCATAGGCCCAGCTGGGCTTTGCTGCTCATCCCTCTCACTATATCTTTTTCCATCCTTCTTCATCTGTCAGTGGAGTGTGAATGAGTCGCCAGGAAACCTGTGCTCTCCTTTACACACAGGTCCAGGCTTAAGTACATTTTGCACCGTATATATTTTATTTTCAAGCTTATATGTGTGTTGCCAAAATGGCTTTTTTTCCCTTGCTAGGTGTCTCAGCTTCTTCATTTACTCTTGTATTTGGACCAGAAAGAAGGGCAGGTAACCTGTTGAATGTTTATACTAACCTCCAGACTAACCAGTGATGCTCAGTGAGACTAGACCTAACCATCCAACCTAAGGAAGCCCAACCTGGGAATAGCAAACACATGGCAAAGATGTCTAGCTGAGATGGATGGCAGATGTCAACTCAGTTTATAGCAAGTGGCTTTTGCTTACTTGATCCTAAAACGGAGTCTAAAAATGGAGTCCTCTGCAGTCTTTTATCAGCCAAATATCTTAAGAGTCCTTTGCTGATATTAGATAAAATCCATCAGTCAGCCAGGGTGGTTTTGTATGGGAAGATCAAACTAACTTCTGTTTGTTGTTGCTGTTGGCCAAGTTGTGTTTGCTTTTTATTGTGAAGTCCTGTTAATGATTAAAGGAACAAATTTTGCTTTTATTCACATTTGTGTGACTCCATGGTCATTTAGGGGCGCTAATGTAAATAGGGCTTGAATTTAGCTCATGGCTGTAGATCTAGAACCCGAGGGCGTCTTTACACATGTATTGGGTGGGGAGGTTTAATTAGAGCAGCTCCACGAGCTGCGCTAATTAAAGCACCCTCAGCGTCGCATCTCATCTCGTGTATTCAGCGTCCCACACTTCAAAATGGTGGCAGAAGCACTTTAAAGCTTGTTCAACAAGCTTTAGTTAAAATGCGCCCACCACCATTTTGAAGCATGGGGACACTGAATACATGACATGCAGAGGCTGTTGGAGCGCGCTGATTAGCATGCTGCAGCAGACTCAAATTAATTGTTTGTTGTTTGCGATTAATCGAGTTTGCTCTGATGTGCTGTAATTACAGCGTGTCGGAGCAGCATCCCCACACAACTGCAAGCACCCTGATTCTGTAACTATTTACTGCTGGGTGTATCAGCGTGTTAGGCTTAGCCCAGTTGGTACCATTGGTACTGCACGTAAGCATGACTCCTGTAAATGTCTACAGGGCTGGGCCCATAGTGTGTGTACAGATGTATCTCATACTGTGTATGGGACTGCTGAGCCAGGGTTGGGTGAAAGGAGAGCGAGAAGGAGCATGAATTCAGTTGGGTGTGGTGCTGGAAATGCAGTGGGCATGGCTTGGTGTTTTATTGTCTGTTAATCCGTTATTGCTAAGATGCAGTCACTACAGGTCAGTCTCTTGTGATCTGTCCTGACTGAACATCTTAATTTTTGTGTGGGGAGTCTTGGAGCTGCCCCCACTGAAGTCAAAGGCCAAATTCCTATGGACTTCCTGGGCTCAAATCCTTCCTCAGTCTTTGTGTGTCAGTAGTACCCTTGATGCGCGACTTTCATTCTCATCAGAAGGAGAGCTAGCCTTTTTGCACTCCCTCAGCATGTTCATTTGTACACCTTGATCTTCATAGGTTTTAAACCAGGCTGCCTTAAGTCTCCCAGGGAAGAAGGTGGGGTATTCTTGCTCTTCAGTGCTTCCTTTCTTTTACCTTGTCCAAGTCACTACACCATTCCATACTTGTGCTCCCTCCTTTGTAAAATGGCTTTAATAATATCTCCCTAGGCTATAGGGAGATATTCAGAAGCTTAAATAATGCTCTGAGATGCTTTGAGATTCCCAAGTTTAAATAAAAGGTGTAATAACATCTAAAACCTACTATTCATTTGTAATTAAAGCACATTGAATGGGTCTTGTCTACACAAGGTATAGGACCATATCTTTTTTTAAAGTGTTTTAAACACAGAGGACACATACACATTACCTTTCCTCATATGAATGGCTTAAACACAGTTTCTTTTAAATTTGTCTAAAAGGTCATTAAAAAATATAGTTTTAAAAATCAATAGCCATATTAAGGACATTTCCATGTGTTTCTGGTGGAGGCATTCAGAATGCATGCCGCAGCTATCATCAACACTTACAGTCCCTCAAAGCCAATATTGGTTTTGGCTTTACTTTGGCCAGTATTAGCCTGTTGTGTCCAGGACCCTGGATGTTCAATTCTGCAGATAGTAGTATTGTGATTTTTCTTACATACCACATGCCTCCCAAATAAGACACAAACTTGTTTTGGGAAGGCAGAATGAAGAAAAAAAATTTTTTTTTCAGAGTCAGGGCCAAAAGATGGCCCATGGAGCAGGGGTGGAGACTACTTTTCAACAGACTTGCCTTCCCTTGCCTACTCAGGCAAAAGGTACTGTTCACCCTCTCAGCCATGGGCACTGACACTGATTATGGGCTTTCCCCAGCTGCGGGCCACCTCAGAGAAAAGGGAGAAAAGTGGCAGCCAGGGTAGCATCTCCAAGCTTCTATTCTGGTGCAGAAAATCAGCTTTCCTGCTTAAGACATGATAATTTTTGGGAAGAAGTGAATCTGGCATTTAAAGAGAAACTTAACATGCAGAGCATCTCATAACTTTTACAGCTTTTACAGCCAAATATCGCACTGCTTCTCTGTGCTAGTCTTCTTTTTTTGTAACAACCTAAAGAAGCTTTATTAGTTGCGGGGGCTTATGGTTTAAGTGGATTCTGCTATGAGGTGGGACTTCAGCTTGTGCAGACATATTTAAGCTAGCTTTAAACCGGGTAGCTCAGGTATCTATAGCAGTGAAACCCTAACAGCACAATTACCGGGGTCTCAAGCAGGCTTATGCAGCACACTCTGAACCCCAGGCTGTCAAGGGTTGACTGCCGTCTGCCCCAGACCCAGCTAAATTAAAGATGGCTCATGTATGTCTGCTTATAGATCGCAGTGCAGATGTCACCTACCCTTAGCAGGGGTGGGCAAAATGCATCCCGCGGGCTGGATGTGGCCTGATAGGCCAGTCTATCTGGCCCGCGGGGCCCCTAAAAAATGTAGAAAATTAATATTTATCTGCCCCTGGCTGCCTGTCATGTGGCCCTTGATGGCTTGCCAAAACTCAATAAGCAGCCCTCCACCCGAAATAGTTGCCCACCCTTGCCTTAATGTCTGGACCTTGTGATCATCTCTGCCTGTGATGTATTGAAATGCCCATAACCTGCGTAAAGATAAAGACATGCAAATAGTAGAGAGCAACAAAAAACAATCTCCTTGACTCATCACATGATTTTTTTTTGAGCCAGTCACAAGCCTGGGAGCTTGTTCTAAACTGTGCTCGCTGTGGTGTAATAAAAGCTATTACACAACTATTTTAATAATAAGCAACTATTTTTGCCCCCTTAATAAATATCTATGCTATATGAGAAGCCTGATTATTTCAGGTTAACAGATTTGATTGCTACAAATATAACTACAGCTGTGCCAAACCCTGCAGTATTGGCTCTGCATATGAAAGCAGGTGTTCCTGCCTATTCGCGAACAGTTACACATTGGATCAGCAGTAACATTTCTCCCCTTTTTGGAAGCAGACTTCTCATTTCAGTTCGAAACTCCAAATTTAGATGCCAACAGAATTGTGTCGTGTTCCTAGTTGGGCTCAGGTCAAAGTGCTGTCAGTGAATTGCAAAGATAGTGAGGATCTGGTCAAATTGTGCCTAGAGAGCACTGGAAAGCCAAATATTGTCTTGCAAAGAACGAAGACACACTTGAAAAGTGGGAAAAAAACATGATGGAAAACAATGAGCCAAACCCTCAGCTGATGCCATTTGCCACAGCTCAAATGAAGTGAATGGGGCAGTGATTATTTACAAGAGTTGGCCTGATATTTTAGGAGTAAACTTTTTCATGGAACCCAAGGGATGTTATGTTTTGCCAGTGAGCTTGTGGTGAGCATTGCTCCATGGCTATCCACTAGACCTTGGTGCAATTCAGCCTGGCTGTTGATGAATAATACTGCAGTTCCTTTCTTTTATTGCTTATCGTAAAGGGAACAAAACATACTTTATTCTTGAGAAAGTTGGGGAACCCAGCACAGTCTGCATTGCACTTAAAACAATTATATCAAATTATAATTGACATAATGAGATGTGACACGTTATGTCACAGGAGTCTGTGAGGTCATTGGTTTATATGTATATATACAGGCTGCACTGAAAATACAATAGCATGCCTCCTTGATTCTAGACTTAACAATGCTATCCCTGAGCTTATCTTCACCGCAGTGGTAGCAGAAGGTATCACGTGAGTGTTGTCCCTAAATCCACTCCTGTCTGCACACAAAAATCTCTAGGTCACATACAAAGGTGGTGCCTTATAATCTTGCACGTGCTGACCTGTCAGTGAGGCCTTGGGCTGAATCTTGAGTGCTGCTGATGTTTGAGCTAGTGATGCATTAGGGATGCAGGAAGCCCTGTTACAAGCACAGCTCAGGGGCTAATCCAGTGACTGTCTGTAGCTGGAGTGCTCTGCAGTATGCTTGCTCTTATTTTGCTCTCACAAGGCTGTTTAGAGTGGAGTAACGCAAGCTAATTGCTGCAGTGAAGACAAGCCCTGAGAATGGCACAGAGAAAGGAAACACAGCAGGAGGAAGGTAAAAGCATTTGGTCCTGTGTACGGCAGGAAAGTGAAGTAGGAGAGATCAGATTTTAATAGAAGGTTTGCTTAAGAGAAGCCACCAGGAAGTATAAAAATCAGCAGAAGAAAACATTTTAATCAAAAGACTTGGGCCAATATGCAAGGAACAAAGCATCTCCCCCATTTGAAGTGTCTCATTATTCTTGAACATGGCAAATAAGAAATTGCAAGAATAAGATCTCCAGGGAAGAGATCAGTATGTGTGTGAGTCTCCTTCCTAACTCTGTAGCAAGTCAAAAAAAAAGTTGAACTCTGCGCGCACACAGAGAAAGTTCTTGGAAGCGTAAAGATGCAGTAGACTAAAAAAAGGGAGCCAGTGATCCCTCTTCTTCAGTAGCTGGGACTAGACGCCATTAGAGAAATCAGTGTAGCACGATATTTTCTTTTCATTGATCTAGAATATTGCTTCCCATGCTGTAGGTTGCAGAGCACTCCTTCAGAGCACCTGTCGGGGATCTTATCTTTCAAAAAAAGCTCTGCCTTGGGACTCCCCAAGAAGTCTTGTCTGGTCTCCCTCTCCTGAAGGACTCCCTGAAGCCAGCCCTGGTTTGGCTTCACAAGGGGCAAGTCTCTTTGCTTTGAGACCTGGCTCTTCTTTGTCCCTCAGCTCCCAGGAAGGGGGGTGTTTTCGTCTTCAAAGTGGCGTGGGTCAAAGTGCCAACGTCCCAAACAGCAGAGCAGGCCACTCAGCTCCAAACTGTGTACCGCAGTTCCCCCTGTCCTTGTTCGAACCCTTGCTTGCTTTTCACTGTCCTCACTGGGACTACCCTTTCTCCCCCAGCTCTCTCAGAGCCTCAATCTGTCTTTTTAGACACAGCCAGCCATTGGCAAAAAAGGCATCTAGATGTCCTACTTATGAAACTATTTACAGCAAAGCACGCCCACCAAGATGTTCCCTACCAGCATTCCAGGCTACGATTCAGCCCACTTAGCATCTTTGGTCACATTGCCTCCAATGAAATGTTGTGACAACCACAAAGTAGCTGCCTAGAGGATTAAAGAGGCTGATGTGGCTCCCTGAAAGCTTTTTTCTCTTATGAAGAGGCTTCAGGATGGAAAGTTTGGGGACCACTGATCTAGCAACTGCCTATGGAGCCATTTGAGTCATCACACTGTGACATCAGGTCTGAGCATCCAGTGTCTGGTCCGGTTTCAATCCCAGATGCAACTGTTTCCAGGGAGTTTGTTTGCCAAACACTTTGTGGGATAGCGGGTTCAGTTTTCCAGTTCTCTGCATCTAAAGAATCTGTGTGGCAGACTGGTGAGTTGGTACATGTGGATATGAGAGATGGATTGAGTACTGCAAGACCTTTCTATCCTGTGGGCCAGTGTGGCAGAGAAGTCAGGTGATGCCATAGGAAATGTTGCCTGCTGATGATTTCTTATCACAAAGAAAGATTGATTTCCATATTCAAAAATAAATAAATAAAGCTACACCATTCTTCACAGTGCAAGGGTAACAGCATGGTTGTCACCAACGGGGTAAGTAATAACTGAAGAACAGTGTGTGTTTGTGTATGTGTGTGTACACTACTTAAAAACATTATATTAAATCTAGAAATGTAGAAAGCTTGCAAGTTAGCCTTATACATCTGCTGTTGTCTTCTGCATTAGCACTTCGAGCCCTTAATATCTGTTTTTGGTAAAGGGAAAGCTTAAGTAAAGGCCCCTTTTGAATGGCTACACTATTCTTTACTATTCCAATGTAAGCCTGCATGCTAAAGAGATGCTATCAGAATTGATGCCGTTTGCTTTATTCCGTTTTCAGCCCAGTTTTATACCAGTGTCACTGCATTGACAGCAGTGGCATTACTCCTAATGCACTTCGGCATATGCGAGATTAGAATCAGACCCCTCGAGTAATCACAAATGTAATTTTTTCTAAGCTCCCTGCACACTCCTTTGATCATCCAGGAAGTTCTCCAACAAAGGTCTGACAGCCAGACTTTCCCCATCTACTTACTCTAAAAGCAAAGCAAACAAAAAAAGCAAAAGTTTAAGCAACCATTTCCCTGCCTTTCTAGGTTACCTTTAGGGACATTCCTCTTGCTGCCTCCCCTCCTCTTGCCCAGAGGATGGGGCTTACAAAGTCCATCCTGCCGGGGAATCTAACTTCTCTTGTCTTGTTTGCATCCTTGTTTACCCAGGGGCAGGGAGCCCTTTCTGAGAGACTGAGGAGCTTTAGTATGCAGGATCTCTCCACTATTCGTGGGGACAGCAGCAGCACTGTTCCTCCTCCCTCAGTCACTGTACGGACAAGCAGCAAACAGAGTCAGCCCAAGCCATCCAGGAGTGCGTCGGAAAGCACTGGCAGCTCAGGTAAGGCTCCGCGGCTTTGTGTCTTGTGTTTTCTTCTCTGTTCACTGGTTAGCCACATGGAGCAATGGAGGGATGGCGGAAGCAGTGGTACAGGGAGAGGGAGGGATGTTGCCAGCTGGGGTTCACAGAGCAGCATTGCACTACAGCAACTTGGTCTGTGTAATGTCTGCCCCTAGCCCTGGTACCTGGATGAGGGAGCATCAGCATCAGGCAGTGACATCAAAGACGGAGCTACAGCTGAGCTGAGGGCTGTAATTAATTCACAGACTCTGGGATCAGGCGAAGTGGAGCTGGGAGCGTGCACTGGCAGGTGGATTACAAATGCAGGTTAACACAGTTCTGGGGCAGGATTATTTATGCCTGCGGGACAAATTGCTGACAGTGGTGTGGTGTGGGGGCTGACTATGGCTGGGGAAGTTGACACTTAGTGCCAGTATTTGACAGGGGAGTTAAAACTGTAGCGTGAAAGTTTTGAATGTACTTGAAGTTCCATTTTGATTCACAAGCTGCTTAGGTGCTTCAGAGCCTAAGTCTCCTATGTCACATAAGCGTTTAGTGTGTATATCTGCTTTGCATTGGTCATCACTGCCTCCACTAAAGTGTAGTCAACTTTGGAACATCTCAGAGGCATATTTTAAGGTCCTGCATCACTGGCAAGGCCTGTCATGTATAAAAACCAGCTCAGTTGGGCTTTAGTAACCAGGTGGCTGCTGTGGGTTGTAAAGCTGTTGGTGGCCCAATCCCTTGAATGCTTGGAGCTACATTGCCATAGTCCTTACACTGCCATGTAGGGGAGTAGTGAGATTACAGCCTCTGTTGGGTCCTGCTCTGATTGTGACTCTGGCTATGGAAAGGAGGATAGGGTTGATTTACGTACTGGCTGGCCATAGCAGCTGGCTGGATGTTGAGGGAGGAAGTACTGTACAAGGCTCCACTAAAGAGGTAATGGGTCAGTGTCCCAGTTTGTTAACTTCTGCCATGTCAGGGGCAGTGCAGCCACACACCGCTCCACACTCACACCAGACAGTAACAAGACAGTTCATCCACTGGACTGGTGAGGAGCTATAGGCCTCCCTGAAATCATTGAGCAGGGCTGATTAGTGAGGCATTTTTTCACAGATGTTTTTGCAAAATCAGACCCTGAGATGACAGCTGCCATTCATACAGACGATCAATAACAATAACTGCTTGCCTATTTGCCAGCTGGCAGGGTTTGAGTGTTCAGCTTTGGCTGGCATCTTTGAAAGCTGGAAGCCCTGGGGAGTGGTTGCAGGTAAAACTCCTGCTGTGTGTAGAGCCCAGCATGGTGAGCTTTACAGGCCTGTCTAGTCAGGAAGCCAGGGCAAGAACAGGGAACCTGCTGCATCCTCTTGGCTGTTGGAGGCAAGGAACGGTGACTTACAGGTGGGCTGGCCTAGGGAAGTGGGATTTGCCAGGACTGGGCACTTGCCCTGGTTTTTTTTACGGTGGGGAAGGCTGTGCTATTGCCAGATCTGAGTGGCAAGGCAGGTTGTGTTTTGCACTGCTGGACACAGTCAACGATTTCGAGATTCTCATAGCCCCTTTGAATGAATACAATATTAGCTGGGCAGATCTCTGTTAAAGGGCATCCGTCAGCTTTCTGACATTGCTGACTGTTATTGGAGAGGGATGGGAGTGGCCCGTCCGCCTTTGGCCATTTTACAGACTGCCAGGCCAGACACTGCAGCAGCAGCTGCAGCCCGCTCTGTTTCTGGAATGCAGCGCACATGCTGGGTGGGAGGTCTGTGCTATAGTGTTGCTCCTTTCTATAGGGAGCCCAGACTTAGGACAAGGACTTTCATATGCACGGGCTACTGAAAGGAGTGACGTTATCACACTCCTGAAGGCTCCATTCATTTCTGTCATATGATCACCAGTGAAGCACAAGTGCCCAAGAGTTTTTTTTCTCCACTCAGTACAGGCCTGTATTGTCATTAGTCTTAGAGGGAGGGACAGAGTCACGTCAAGGGGAGAATAGCCCCTTAATGGTAACTAGGTGCCAGTTCTACCCTGGTAATATGGGTGCCACTGAGCGCACGATTGGGGCTGTCTCTGCAGACTTTTGCAGCCTTTGTGATTCCTGAGGGTTTGTAGACTGCTAGGGAGGGATCATTCCCTGAGCACTGAAATGCAGTCAGCTCTGTGGTTGAAGCTGGCTGCCTTTCTACCCCAGTCTCTTGCTACACAACATTTTTTAAGAAGGGGAGTATAAGGAGGCAGAGTGCAGCTGTGTGAGGAGTGTCCACCCAGCACAAAGCACAGTCATGTGGAGAGCCCTCCAAGCCAGCTCAGGTTTTGGAAGCGGTAGAGCTGAGTGCAGCACTTTGCCTAGGGCTAATTACTAATGCATCTTTACTGCTTCTGATAGCTGAGCTAGCTCACAGGACAGGTCTATGCAGTCCAGCATTGTGATGTATAGGTTAACCCTGAGCTGGACATTGATGAGGACATTGGAGTTAATATACCTCCCCATCCCAAGTGGACCATGGACAGCTTTAAAGATCAGCAGGAGCCAGGCCTAAAGTTTTCCCTCACTTGCAGCCTGCTCAAAGTCCAAGAGCACTGACATCAGTGGCTCAGGCCAGTAGCTGGTTACATACATGCTGTCCTCAGCACGTAACGGGGCAGATCTTTTTATGTCCTGTCTTGTTGTTATAAACATGTGAAGGGTGTGTGTTCCCCTGGCACGTGATTCCTGAAGCAAACCCCATGGTTGGCACAGTAGGCACACGGAGAAGCTGGTGTCTGTGACTGTCTAATGAGAGTAACTTGCAGAGCCATCTTCAGTAAGACACGGGCTCCTTCTTCTCCTCCACGGGCTGGGCTTCCCAGAGCTGTGGCAATCTGCTGAGCAGGCACTTGGGACAGCTGCTGTGTTGCACTCACACCAGCTGTCTCAGTGCCTTTAAATGGACCCCTCTGTACCCACAGCCTTTATCTGTGCACAGATGGCCAGAGCACTGAAACGTCGTATCAGCACAAATGTCCCACGCTCCTTGCTCCCCCTGCCTACCATTGCCCATGCCACGTACAAACAACACGCATGAGCATACACACCCCACAGGCTGCTGCACATCCATGCTCACAGCACAGTTCATGCAGACACATCCAGGTATGCATGCAGTAAAGGTATACCTGGTATACTGTGTACATGCATTTTCTCTCAGCATGAACCATTATACACTCATGTTGCTGTGCAGACAGAGTACTTTTTGTCTGATTTTGCCCTTTCCATTGGGATGTAGTGCTCTGTAATATTCCAGTTTGTCTGTGCCCTTACACCCCAACTCTCTACTCAGATTTAACTCACACTGAAATCACTGGGGACTGCCAAAAACTGTGGAGGCCGTGTGCCAGTTCATGGACAGCCAGGTTGGGGGTCAGAAGAAGCAACCAAGATGCGAGGGGTGTGTGCAGGAAGCCAGAAGATCTGTCTAGAGAACCGAGTCAGAGAGCCAGAGGGTCAGGAGGCAGCTGGGTCAGGCATCTGGGAGATCAAACCAGAGCTGGGTTAGGGAGCCAAAGGGTCAGACCAGATTTGGGGTCTGCTGACAAGCTAGGTTGGCTAGCCAGAGAATCCATTGGGGAGCTGGTAGAGGCCCAAGCCAAGAGTAAGGCAGCCTAAATACAAGAATAAATCTTGTTGCCTGGACACTTGCTCATCCAGATCAGAGGTTTTTATAGGAAGGGGTAAAGGGTCAGCTGATCCTGGGTGAGCACTCTGATTGAAGGGAGTGGGTGGGTGGCTAGGCCCACCTATGTCCACCCCAGTGCTCAGCTGAGGAGGTAACAAACTGGAATTAGTGGCTGCACCAGGTAGTCTGAGGCTCCGAGTTCAAAGCCATGGCATGGGCTAGTGGGTATAATGCAGTGGAAATGCAAGGGAAACTTCCTAGCTAACTGCTTTACTTGATTTAGAAATCCAGCCTTCCATGACTGACTAGTCATTTCTCTCTCTAGCTGTTTTTAGCCAGTGGATCTCCTGCCAACACTGGCACAGGGGGTAGACTCAGATAAAAGGTGGTTCTAGAGGTGCGGTGGAGGATTTTGGAAATGTAAATGAAATTTCAGTTTTCATTTAAATGGAAAGAGTTTCAACACTGTGCTTCCAAATACCTTTGTGATCAGTTCTGCTTTTGCAACATATGAGTAGCAGCACTGAGCACTTTCTGTGTGCAATCAACAGCAAACTCCATGCTGGATTTCACTGATTCTCCTGCATCTGTGTGTTACATTGGTTTTACACTGAGACTGAGGTCAATGAAGTGAATCTGATTTACACTGTAAGGGGAGCAGGACTGATCAGAGTGCTCTGGGGATCAAGCCAAGGTCTGCAAAAGCCATTTCCTTCTGGAGTCCCCTGTGCTCCATCTGGAGTGAGGCAAAGGGGCTGCAGTACAAGGAAACAAGGAAATGCTGGAAACAAGTTCCTGGGTGGTTTAAGGGACAGATGCCCCCCTCCAGCAGGTGAAAGTCCTAAGCTGTAGGAATACTATTCCCTGGACCAGCTTCTTCCCCAGGGGAACTCAGCTGCAATACAGCCCTTTGTGTCCTCGCATGACAGAGATTTTGACACTGCATGTGTCTGATGTGCGAGTCCTGATCATTCTCACGTCATGCTCGGAAGCTGAGCGAATGGCTAAGTGAATGCTGGTAACAAAGCTCCTCTTTATATCTATTGTGAAAAATAGATGATTGTAGATGTGAGCCCTACAGTGTGTCATTGCCTTTTCTGCCTCACAGACCGTGTTAAAGACTTGCAAGAAAGCAGTGTTGGCTAATTCCTGGAGGACCAGGAACTCCTCTATTGAATCCTAGCACCATTAATCAGTAGTGGAGTAGCCTTGGGCAAGTCACTTAACATCTCTGGGTCTGTGTCCCTTGCTTGGGGAATCATAACTCTCTTCCCTCACATGGGGCCTGATTCATGATTCATGACTGCACAGTGTGAGGAAGGAAATGTCCTGTGCTTCTGAGGGCTCCTGTAGATGCAGCATGATCGATTGATTGATTGATCCTCTTTCAGTTTGCTCGTGTTGTTCCATGTGCCGAATCCTCAGAGGTGAGTGCTGGCTTTCCCTGGTCTCTGAAATCCCCGCAGCCTTCGCGATCATGGCTATGATCTTCGTTGCTGCTGTTATTACTCACTGTTTTCCCTAACAGAATGGAAATAAGGATAAGGGGGTGGAGAAGGAATGTGTGTGCAGCTGTAAACACCGCATGGCCAGGCTGTGCTTTGAGTGTGGAGTTTGTGTGCGTGAACTGCAGTGGGTCATTCCCGTCCCCTTCCTGACCTGTGCTGCACACGTGTGGAGTTGTGTTCTGTGCAATTTGACTGCAGGCCCTTTTTTACTAGGGAGTTTTGCACCTCTGTTGTTATACTAATGTAGCCACCCTGACATAGACACACAGTGCAACATAGGCCTGGCACTGAGCACATGCTGCACCAGTCAAAATCCTATTTTAATTTGGCACAGTGTGTCTTCACGGTGGGTTTGCACTGATGGGAGCATTTCCATGGGCATACACCGGTTCTGATTTCTCTGATGCCAGCTGGGCCTTCGCATTAACGGTGAAACAGAGTGAATTGGGGAAACCCAGTAAAGGCGACCCAGCGACAAGCATTGGCAAGGGCAGAGGATGTTGTATGGTATCCCTGGCGTAGTCTAGGACGAGTCATAGAAAGCATCCCGCTGTCCCTGCCACCGGTTCAGAGGCAGCAATGCTGGAGTATAGCTGAAGGGCTGTCTGTCTGCACTGGGTTAGCATTGTGTCCATTAAATTGGTTTGCCAGCAGAGTGAGGGGTGCATCATTACCTCGGTTGTTGGTCATAGTGGAAAGGCCAGGAATGAAGGAGGGGACATTTGGGATGTTTCCTGAGGATTTTCATTGGCAGCACTTGAGGTTCTAGGTGATGCAAGATGTTCCCAGATCAGATCTACCCTGCACTGCACCTTTTGAGCTTTTCATTCACTTGAAAAGTAAAAGTTTGTATACTTAGCCATCTGAGATTCACAGGGGTGTGGTGATCTCGTCCCTCCCCAGTCTTTTCCTCCCACAAACTGGGTCTTTTCACACACAGCCTGTGGGCCTGGTTCCCCCCATCCTGGCTCTGGTGCAGCCAGTGGCCCCCATGCAGCACCTGTGCTGTGGTCATTCTGATTTGGGAGCGTTGCGCCTCTGCCTTGTGCAGGCCCATGGGCTCTCTCGTGTCTTGTCTCAGGCCAGCATAAATGCCCAGTTACTTCTCCTTTGCTTCCTGGTCATGGGCTCATAGGAGAGCAGGGCTGGAAGGGTTATCTCAGGGATGGGCAATTATTTTGGGCAGAGGGCCACTTACTGAGTTTTGGCAAGCCATTGAGGGCCACATGCCAACAAGGCATTGAGGGCCACATGACAGGCCACATCTGGCCCGCGGGCCGCATTTGCCCACCCCTGGGTTATCTAGCTGGCCCTTGAGTTCAGGCAGGAACATTCCTGTCTTTTTCCCTCTCTGGCCTCAGACTCTATCCCATTTTGCAGCAAGTGCACAACAGTGGGGGAAAACAGGGGCAGTTTAAAGTGGTGCAAAACACCAAAAGTCTCCTGAACCATTTCCACCCCTCTTCACTTTCCTAACCACCCCACTGTTTTACCCTCGACATGTTGACTTGACTGATTTGAGCCTGCAAGCATTACCATAAAAAGCTCCCAGACTCTTATACACAGCGCTCACTACCATGAGTTAATCTTATCGAGTAAATTAACAGAGCTGTTCATGGTAGCAAGCCTGGTAGCATTTCCAAAACAGCTCCCAGGTTCTGTGGGTGGCCTATCTTCAATTTATATGCTGGTTTTACGATTTGCTTTTCTTTATGAGAAATAAGCATTTCGGCATAACTCCAGTCACTAGGTGCCTGGCCAGGAGAACACGCAGAAGCCTTATCTTGCAGCATACTCATTCAGCCTCCATTCACAAGCTACCCTTTCTGTCTCCAAGGCAATGGCTGCATTCATGTACTTGCAGGCAGTGATTTGCCATTTCGGCTGCTCTTTTGTGAGGGCAGCTTTGCTCATTCAGGGGACTGGTTCCTGGCTCAATTTAGCATATTTTCTCAGCTGTGAAATAGGCCTGGAGAAAATCAGCCTGGCCTGGGAGACACTGAGGTCATCCCGTGCTCTTACTCTGCATCCTTTGAGCACAAGTATTGTGTTCAGCCCTTTGTAAGTCACAGAAATCTGTACAGTCCCTTCCTCAAGGGAGGACTGTATAGTCTGCACAAGTGGACATGCATCCTGGTCTGCACTAGGAAGGTGAGAGACCATTTTAAAGCCATGGTGCAGCTGCATCACTGAGAGCAGGGACCTGAGTGCCAGCACGGGTAAGTCTCAGTTGTTTTTACCACCAGCTGAATTGTGCCAACCTGCTCCCGCTGTGTTTATTAAACCCAGCCCTGGGAGAACACCAGTTTGCTGCTCCTGCTCCCTGCGTAATGCTTGGAAACTGCTGCTCTCACTGCACTGCCTACTCCAGGAAACAGGCATTTCTGATGATAATAAGGCAGGGGACGAAGTCACAAGCCAAGCATTTAGAGCAAAATCCCATCCCTGTAGCTGGGAGTCCTGCTGTGTCGGGCACCGGTGTGTGGTTGGTTGGGATGTGTTTTCTGTATCCACAACACCCGACTCTCTCAGAGAAAGACCAGGCTGAGCAGCAGTGAGATCACTCTGTAGAGCAAGTAGATTTATCACTGTCAAGCTCCGGGGAGGCTGTCTTATACTAAAGTTGTTGGTTTCCCAGCACAGCTTCATTATGCACAAGCAGCTTGCTCTCGCTGGCCTCGCACTCCACAGACTGCGAGGCATTGAAAGAATTCAGGACATTCATCCTCCTTTGCACCGAACAATTTAACTGACCCCAAGGCCATTGTCGGTGGGTTCCTCTGCACACACTGCAGTGCGTCTCCTTGGCAGGTCCTGTCTCAGCTCTTCTCGCTCTGGTACAGTGAAAGGCTGTTTCTGGCAAGGCTCCTTCCCAGAGCTTTTAAACAAGTCTTTGATTTACTTCTGTTATGTTCAGGCCCTTCTGAAAGATCAAAGTGTAAAACTAAGGACTTCAGATGCACCAAAATCATAACTTCTCTTCCTTCCTGGGATGTTTAGCAGGGGTTAAGTTAACATCCTTGTTCAAGCTTGTCTCTCAGTTGTTGGCTGTGCCTGGTGAATGCACAAGCACTGATGTGATACTAAACAACTTGCCTTGGAATTTGCATTAAAAATAACAATTTCCTTATTTAATGTTCTCAGTTCAGCCAAGCCTCAGTCAGATGCTCCTGTAAACGACTGTACCGGGAACGATGAGAGAAGGGTGGCTTCAGTGTCTGTACGGAGAATAAGCACAGAGAACCAATGCGTTGTACATAGGAGAACCATTGCAATAGCAAACTTTGTGCTTTGGAGGAAGGAAATTTAGCAGTAAAGTTACCGATCTGCAGGGATCCTGGTTTGATACAAAAATTGCAAATTCTCTGATAAAACCCCCCAAATCCTCGATTAAAATGGAATGCCACTATATATATAGGTATCAATTGAACACAATGTTTTATGGGTATACTTACAATTTTAAAGCAATTTGGAAGACTGCCAGTAGCTCCATCACTATAATAAAATAAATTCTAAATACGTATACATTTTGGTATTTGATTTGGGGTTTTTTATCATGGAAAATCAGACCTCCCCCTGCCCTCTTCACTCACAGAACACAGATCCAGACCCCTCACTCCTCACCACAGCCCTCAGCTCTGCTGGCACCCCTCACTCCCCACCCCCAGCCCCCCAGCCCTGCTGGCACGACCCACCGCAGCAGGGCAGAGTGGGGCTGGCTGGGGTAGCTCCGCGCTGCTGCAAGCTCTGCGCTGCCCTGGCAATGCGTCCCCTGCCCACCCCACAGCAGCAAGGGGCACAACCCCGTGTCACTGCGTGGGGCAGGCAGGGGTACATTGCCAAGGCGATGCAGGACTTAGTGGCACTAAGCTCCCCTGCCCTGCTCTTCCCTGCCCTGCCACACAGGGTCCTGCCTGCCGGGCTATGGAGGCCCCAGGGGAGAGCAGCAGGGCAGGGAGCCCAAGCCCGCAGCAGGCAGCCAGCACCCGCCCCCTGCACAGATCGGGTGGCACGGTCCCCCCTGCCCCTCTGGGAGTGTGTGCAGCAGCTGGGAGCTGCCTGCCCCTCCCGGACAAGCCGCCCACGACTTCTCTGAGTTAAGACGTGAAACAGCTTAGAATTTCCCATGTTCCTATTCAGTTTGATGGTGCCAGCCTGCTCCCTGCCAGGGCCCTGCAGCCGCACTTTCCAGCCTTGGGCCCCAGCCCTGCCCTGCCCACTTCCTTCCTGCCCTGCAGGGGCCTCAGTCCCTCCCCCCCTCACTTACCTGCAGGAGCTGCTCTCCAGGCTGCCTGGGGCCATGTGTATATATGTGCACATCTTGCCCCTGCCTGACCACCCTCTTCCCTCTCCCCCCAGCCCCTTGCAGGCTGGAACTCTGCCAGCCTGCAGGGAGCTCTTTGCAAAAACGCAAAATCCGTGTGTTTCTCTGTTAAAGTGAAAAATTTGCATTTTTCTCCATTTTTCCTTGGAAACGGAAAACCTGGATCCCTGCTGACCTGGAACCAGAACAAGACAGGTTTAAAGATGTTTGTGATGAATGGAGCTGCAGGTTGTCTTTCATAGTGGTGCCTGCTGCCATGGCGTGTCCCTTTAAACCTGCAGCTCAAGTATACTGCCGAATTTCAGTGTTGGCTGGCAGGCTCAATCAATTATGCACAAGGAGATGTGCAGTGTAAAGCTGGTTTCTGGTCCAGTAAAATACTGTTATACCTCTCCCTGTGTGTGTCTAGATTTAGTCCTCCCAAGGCAGGGAGAACAGGGTATGCATGATTAGCTGTGCTAGGGCTTTCGGGATACAGTTGAGCAGTACTCTTAAAGGGACATTTGCTTAAAAGTGTACTTTAGACAAGCCATGTACCAGTATGTTAGAAAGACATCTACTCGTTTGTAGCATGTTACAAATTGCACCTGAGATT